AGGGCTGTTTCTCAGCATTGGTCAACTCCTGAACCAATCTGGTGTGGTCTGGACAGATTTATATAAGGTTTGGATCCCAAATGAATGATGTGATGCATTTCCTGTATGAAACAAAATGGTCCAAGATGCTCTGGAGTTTTTGGCAATTAGAACATCTAAATGAGAAGGAGAAATCCAGTGTGTGGAGAGAGATTATGTGAATGTAATGGCATAATATGGAGGCAAAGAAGGAGAGTTAGGCTTTGCTCACTGGCAACCCGAACATAGAATCTGAAGCAAAATTTTACCACCAATCTCCAGTTGCAGTGCTTGTGAGTAGAGACTTTTGCATGTGATTGTACAGAGAGAAATCCAGCATGAAGGGCAAGATGGAACACTCAGATGAATGTAAGTGTTGGTTTGAGAATTGTGTTAATTGAAAAAAGGAAAACTTAAGAGGTGCCTAAACTCCTAAACCTACTTGTTTAAAATCTGGCAGGTTTGGCAAATTGTCTCCCCTTTCTCGGTTCTAGTGTGTCTCCCAATTTCAGCTACAACAGGGCAACACCAACAAAGTTATAATCATTTTGGTTTCCCAAAGGAAGCCAATGAGAGTCTGGTGATATGAATTACAAATCAGCTTGATTCTCAAGCACAAATTGAACTAGATGGAAACAGAAGTGCTTTGGAATCTATCCCAAAGTCATATTTTGGCCTTTGAATTGAACCAGGGATCAAGAGGACCTTTTTACAACCCAACAACAAATATTGACTTCATGGATTCAGATAGTATAGTTGACTACCAAATGATAAGGACAAAAAGTATTGGAATGTTCTATGTTCTCAAAATTTCTGCTGCTGTAATCAGCACAATTAAAAGCTCAACAACTGAGATCCAACATATTCTGTGGTTTCAATGACTTGGAAGAGCTAGGTTAAAATCTTGGATCATGAATGGGAGGCTCCGTCAAAGGGTAGTTGAGAAGATATAATGGAGGAAGGGGAGAATAATGTAAGCCACCTTTAGCTCCTTGAGGAAGAAGTGAGATATAAGCCTAACAAAGAATTTGCCATGCTTTTATCAGTTTACATCAACACCAACACATAATCAGTTCTACTCTACATGTCTCAATTTCAAAAACAAAACTAAGTATCCCATTGAGTGGTGTGATCACAGAAGGGTGATGGCATAAATACTCTCTCTACTCCAGCAGACTGCTCTTTGCAATCCCAGTCTTGTACTAGTTGTGAGTGACTGCTTGCATGGTCAGTCATGTGATAGTGGCCTGCTGGAACTAGGGAATCCTTAGGTAATTATTATTTCACTTCACATGAGATAATGATCAATACTTTTCCCATCAAAAAATCTGTAGAGGTGCCCCTTATTATCATTCTTTTAATAGACTGAACTTAACTATAAAGATACAGGAAAAATTTCTCACAAATGCACTCCAATTTTGACCAGAACTGATGTTGGAAATTGTCATTTAATTAGTTTGCAAGTCTTCAAAAGGCTACCCATAACTGCATGTAAATCTTTAGTAATTCACATTAATATAATAATATTCTGAACATAACTGTATACTGTAATACTTTCAGTTTATTTAGCCCTCTTGATACTTGGTCAAGTCAGCAAATCAGATAGGAGATAAGATCAGTTTAATGTAAAATTTCACATTTGACATGAATTTTATTGATTACTCTTTTAAGAAAGAATCAATAAGGCTTTCAGCACGTTTATGGATCAAGCACTTTTCAGTTCTTTTCACGAACTCATTCATTCTGTTTCTTTTAAAGTGATATAGGTCTCATTAATAAGAAGGCTGTCAAGGGAAAAGGGAGGGAGAAAATTAATAAAAATGCCCTATTGCAGAAAGAGAGCCTTCATATTCATGTGTATATGTTTATATGTGTATGTATATTTATATGTTATTGTAAAATGCTGTGAGCTGCCTTGGGTCCCTTTGCTGGAAGAAATGCAGCACACAAATAAAACTAACTAACCAAAAGGACCTTAACACTATCATCCATCATGGAGAAAGAGCTTGGGATAAATTGATTAAAATGAATGAAATTAAATTCAGACCTGGAAAGGTTACTTTTTAAAGCTCACATCATGCTGTACTCTAATATAAATGATAGTCATTAGCAGAACTAACTCCTGTTTAGAATTGATTGTAGTCTTAATGTACACAATATACCGATGTATGGAATACTGTATTACGCACACTAGTATAAAGCACGATATCCATTTGCAAAACAGTAAAAAAGAATATGGGAAAGAAGAGTCAACAAGCTCCCTGAAGTATCAGGTTCAAGCTGGCAAAATGAGTTAATCTTGACTATGTGATTTTAAGTCAAACTAGACTTTAAGGGAAATGTACATTTCATCCAGTGAATCTGTTTTCCTTCCTGCGTAGAATTTTCTCTGAGATAGAGGCCTGAGTAATCAGACTTGCTAGTTATGCCCACATTTGCTTTTCCAATGACCAAGCACAAAAGAAACATGCAAAGTGCAAGGTATGATGTTGAGGAGAATCCTGTGCTGTGACAAACAGATGACTATCACCACTTAATGGGAAACTGCTTTTAAAATGCTAAGCATACAGCCCACTTTGCCTTTTTAAAATCTTTAATGGGGGTGTCATTAAATAGTTGATAGTAACTTCAGCAATAGGGTGGGGCTGAACAGAGGTCGTAGGTGCTTTCTTGAAGAGCTCTTTCTTCCTGAAAAACATCTTAGCATTTTTAAAGTGATGTTGTGCAAGTGAAAACAGGCAAATACAACCACTCATTGTTTGAGAATAAACAGAGAGGAATGTATTCACTCATTTTCCCTTCCATATTAAGCTGTGAAGGTCTCATTATCTTCTAAAGGCACAAAGCTTCGATCTAGGCATGCTTAAAATAAATTCAGAAGAAGAAATTATCTTTATTAATATAGCTCAAAAGAACGTATGTACAGCTGAAAAGGCAATAAGATTGTACATACAGTTAAATAAATATATTAATAAGCATTCTAAGTCTGTTTAATAATATGTTTTGAATTGCAGCTGCAGAATGCAATCAATGAAACTCCTGTTCTGCACAATGAGGCTGAACATCATCTTATTTATTTTTCTGTAGCAGATCATAAACTTATTGAGAATAGTAAAGTATGTATCCACAGAACAACAGTGAATGCTATTGTTCTCCCTCTCTCCCTCTCTCTTTGGATGCAGTATGTGTGCACCTGTCCTAAAAGATCCTTTTTTTTATTTTTCTTTGAGCATAGGGAGAGTTTGAACTACAGTCCAGATTTCATATGCTAAAACAACAGTCAAATAAAAAGGATTAATCTATTTGCTAATTGGATGTTACCAAAATCATCCTCTTTGGGCGGTGCTCTGCATCTTTCTGGTTGCATTCTAGCTGTTGAGCAGATACAATCTACAGAAGGAATGTGTGCACTCATTTAGAAAATGAATTGCCATTGATAGTCAACTTCAGATCCACTGAAGTTTAGTTTGGGCTCATGATGGTCACATTCAAATTAACTAGATAATACTAAATTCTTAATAAACATGCATACTGTACATATTAGAAGTGGGATATTGTTGTTCTGCTCAAGCAAAAGTGACATGTCTTACAGAGACATTTTATTGTATCTTTGGAACTACATATGAACTAGAAAGAGGACAAATAGTGATACTGTCTTCTGGGGAAAAACAGGGTTCTCCTCTCCCAGTTAACTAAAAGCAGGCACAAGGAGACTTTAAATATGAAGTGCATGTAGCTGCCAAAGCCCTTGACACAAGCCCTTTGTTGCCCCTATCCAATATGTTCAGGTTAGAAAAATTTGAAGAGTGGTAAAATTGGCTGGTAGACATAGTAGGGCTGGACTTAATTTTCTTTCTTATGCTTTCTTGGAAAAAGCGGTGAAAAAAGACTTCAAGTTCTTTCTGAGAATTGTGGGAAATCTGAACTAACTAAACAGTAATTCAGAAGAAACTTGACCATCAATAATTATCTTAGGTCTTTAAGATCTCAAGGAGATAACATATGTAGTTTTCCAACAGACTGTGCCTCTTCACCCACAAAATTCCTCAGATGTCTTTTATACAGACCTTGGCAGGTTTGCTAAAATGAAATGGCTAGGAAGATCTTAACTTGTGTAAACCATGTGCCTTCATTAATACCTGGCATTTACATCATTTCCCTTATACTAGAATAAATCAGCAAAAGCATTCTGGCCTACATGTTGCTGTTCCTTTGAAGGGGAATAATGCTATCATCAGTAGTTGTTTATTGTATCAAAAAGAGTAACTCATTATGCTATGTCATTTTAGCATGTTCCAGTTTAGTTACTTAAAAAAAAAGACAATACAATTTTAAAAGCATATAAATGCCAAAATCTGCCCCCCACCCCAATGATTCCATGAAAGCAAGATTTTAGGAACAATGGGTAAGCCATTAAAAAACTGATGTCACCAATTCTTACTTCTAAAAAGTAACAGCACTGGTGTCATTGTTCTCCCAAATGTATTGCATTTCAGATAAGTGCCATTATTTTGGAGCTCTGCTTTTCAACAATTCCTCTGCTAGGTCTCAAAAATGCATCCTGTCTCAGCATTTGATCAAACAATCAATTTAACTTCAAACATAAAATAAAACAAAACAAAACAAAATGGCATGCTTCATTCTTTTTGTAACCAGGTGATTAATTATTCATCTTCAGGTAAAAAAGATTGAAGTTCTGATTCTCTGTCTTTTCCTTTCTTGATCATACTCCCAATAATATTTTAAGAATATGCAGATTTCCATAGCTGTTTTCTATGGCCACATTTGCCCACCCTAAATAAAAATGATCTTGTAACATTCCATTTTTGCTTTTAATACTAGTGAATAAATCAGTGTATAAGCCTTTTGTTCATGTATGCCACATAATCTAGATTTTCTTTAAATTAAACCAGATGGTGGTTGCTTGGATTTTTTTATTCTGATGCTTTTGTAGTGCAGAAGGGCTATTAAAGGAGGCTTACTCTGGGGGAATCGAGGCGGATTGTCGTTGACATCAGTCAGGGTGATGTTCACGGTTGTGGTCCCTGATAATCCACCCATCTGGCCTCCCATGTCTTTTGCCTGGATCACGACTTGGTATTGCTCTCTGTTTTCCCTGTTCATGTTTGGCAGAGCTGTCCTTATGATGCCTTTAAAGAAAACAAGCAAACATTTGTTACTGGTTACTATAGTGACAGCATGCGTACTTGCTATAACAATGAACGTGCAAATGCACACAAACACATGCATTTGGGAAGAATGTACTCATTATACAACTTCAGAAATTTTCTTCAAAAGGAACGGTGCAACAAAACAGTGCAGTTGGCCAGCACTGTGAGAACTGACAAGTAAACTGTAGTGCTGATCTATATAGCAAGCAAAAATTGTGGTAGCATTCTCTACTTACTACCTCAGACAATGAGGGTGGGAGTATTTTGCATGCTCCTTAGTTATTCATTAAAATGTCTTTGCACGTAGCAAACTAGCACATAGCATACTCCACTCCAGTATGTGCTTAATTAGTACATCATGTTGCCAGGTCTCAAGGCTCTTGGTGATGCCTGAGGAAATTTCTACATTGGTTCAGTTTTTCAGGTGGGGAGAAAAACCTCTGGGCAACCAGCACTAGAGAACAAGATAGTCTGATTAGTGTATGAGAGGTGGCTTCAACTCCTGGGCACCCATCTCTCCCCATTCCCAACTCTTGAAAGCACTCCCTGGATCAGCATTAAGGCATCTGCATGTGTGTTGCCCAATAAGGCACAGCGACCAGCTCTCTTCCCATTTCTGTCCCCCTCTTCTGCTGGTTCCATTACAGTGGACCCTCTACTTAAGGAATTAATCCGTATTGGAACAGTGGCTGCAAGTCGAAAAGTCTGTAGGTCGAATCTCCATTAACCTACAATGCATTGAAAACCGATTAATCCCATAACTGGCAGTTTTTATTCTATTTTTGTTCCAGTTTGGTTTTTTTCTGGTCTGTAGGTCGATTCTCTGGCTGCAACTGGAATCTAAATTTTGCAGCCAGAGAAGTCTGTAACTCGAAAAGTCTGTAAGTCGAGCCATCTGTAAGTCGAGGGTCCACTGTATGCCGTTTGGAGCAAGGTAGGAAGTGGTGCACCAGGGTCATAGATCATAAACTTTCTTGTTACATAAGCCCCAATAGCAGCGGCAACACAAACCTGCTGAGGAGGAGGCAACTTTCCCCTTCTAAACCTTGCCTGCCATGAGATCACAAGAAACTATTCCTTGCTCTCATGTTTTGGTCCTGAAATCTCAGAAAATGGGATGCCATTAGTTAGTAAACCAATTTGCATAATCCAGGGTCTGTTTGTCCGTTTTACACGAGAGAACATTCAACATACACCTTCTTTACATAGAATCTCAAGCTGTACCATCAAGAAATCTATCATTTAATTCTGCATATAATAGGCAGAACAGGCTTGTAATGTTTTACTCTCCAGATACAGAATGTATGAATGCAGTTTTCACATTTCGAAACCATTAAGGTTATCAGAATGCAACATGCAGCTCAGTAATAGTTCTGGCCACACTGTTCCATTAACCTTCTAACAAAGCAGAAAAATAAAATAAAACAGCAGCCTGATCTGACCTGTTTCTGGCTCAATAGAGAAATATGGCTGGCCTTGGAGTATGCTGTAGATGATTCTGGCACTGTTTCCATAGGAGGGGTCATCGGCATCTGTCGCTGTGACTTGCACAACTGAAGTACCTAGAGTCACACAGAACATAATTCAGCATCATGACTGGAGTCAAAATCATTATTATACAATGCATTCAGATTAACACTACTAAAGCCTTCAGCAGAGTGAGTCACTATGGTCAAAACAATTTGAGGAGATGCTTCTATAGACCCCAGATGAAGGCATCACTTTATATCATCAGTGCCTCCTCTTGATATCTAGTGGCCAATGACCAAGTGGTAGCTAGTGAGTCCAGTTCCAATGGGTGCTATGGATCCACTCTGGGTTTTAATCTGAACTTTAGAAGATTTACCCAGAGTTCTGAATCTATTTTTGTGATAGGATACTCTACCTTGAATGGCTCCTGTAAAAATGTAGACTAAAACTGGGAATGAATTCACAGCCCCCTGAAAATGGAATCATCAGCCACCATTACCATGAACTCACCATACCTCTTGCTAGGCTTGCAAAGAGGCAACCAAAGGTATATCAGTGCCAGCCTCCAGAAGCACTAAGCTATGCGAAGAGAAAAAAATAGCTTTAACTAGCATTGTCAGATGTAAAGGTGCTGACTCAGGATGGCTCTATTTCTGCAGTTCTTCAAGTGAGGAGACAATCAATTCTGGTTGAGAAGTAATGGAGGAGGAGAAAGTTTAGGGGGCTTTGTGTGAATCTATTCTCAGCTGGCAACAGGGCTTACTGGTTCAGCACAATGCTGTTTCTGTATATGTTGCACTTGAGCAATGCTGGAATCCTTAAAAAGCAAGGAGCGAGGACAGGATCCTTGTTGCCCTTCTCTGAACCTGTTTCAGGGGACAGGAAACTAAGCTTAAAATACAATCATACAGAGGAAGAGCAGGATCAGTTCTCAATCATCCCAGAGTTCAGAGAGCAGCATGGCAATGGAACCAGTTACCTTGGGCAGTGGTGAGCACTCCAATGCTCGAGGCATTCAAGACAAAATTAGTCAACTATCTGTAAATCTACTTTGATTTGCATTCCTGCATTGATCAGGAGGCTGGACTTCATGAACTTACAAGCGCTTTCTAACTCCCTTATTCTATAGTTATAGAACTAACTAACTGGATACATAAATGCAGGTAGGAATATGAACTCTTTTCCAATAGTGGCAAGACAGAAGTCTCACAAGTAGAACATGGTGGTGGAAATTTCATCCTGTTGTTTGTGCCCTGTACCTACCTGGCAATTGCTTTTCTACCACTGCTGGGTTTTTGTTTTTGTTTTTTTCATCCACAGAAGCTGGTGGCCATCCTCAAGTTTATTGCTGACCCTTCCTAGTCACTACCCAAGCCTGGGACCTTTGCAAAGAAGCCCTGAAATACTTCCATCCCAGCCCCTAACCTCTCCTCATACTTTCTACAGGCACAAAACAAGCACAGTTTAATTCATCATAGATAAAGTGCCATAATTAAAACCGGAGATAGACTGAGGTCTGTTCATAATGAATCATTTGGCCTGCTTTAAAGACAGAGTGAATCCCACTCTTTTACTTCCCTACCTTCCTTTTTTTGCTATGCTCAAATATATGAAGGAAGACTAATCTGCTCTGATCAATTTGAATACATTAAGGGCCCTTGCTTCTGTTTCATCTTTACATTTAGCCAGTTTAGAAATTGCATAGCCTTCAAAGGCTTCTAAGGTAAAAATTATGCTCATCCTCTCCTCACCCTTGCAGCACTACTGGTTTCTTATGTTTCTGCATATTACACTGTTACCTTTTTGAGGAAATCATCTTATTTCTTGCCTGCCAGCCAATTTTTAATCCCTTTCAATGAGACATCCACGAGGCAATGCTTTGCAGATCAAATCTTTTGGAGAGCCTGGAGTCCTTTTGCAATGCATGGGAGAATATCAGAAGTATTTCCCAAACAAATTATGTAATACCATATTTCATGTTTTGGAGTGTGTGTGTGTGTGTGTTTAACCCCCCCCCCCTTAAATTCAGGACAAGTGGAAGTATCAGTCCAATACATCTTGGAGGCATCTGTTTACATTCTTCCTTACATTTAATATCTGACAAATTCTGTAGTACTGTACGTATAATGTTTTCTGTTCTAAAGGGACTCAGAGTTAAGCATGCTAGTAAGCTATGCAGGGGTGGTGGTAGGATACAGCCTTGTATAAAGAGCACCTGCTTTGCAGACAAAGGATCCCAGACCTGGTCTTAAAGTTTTTCATTTGATGGATCCTGTTCCCAAAGACTTTGTTTTGTGACAAATTACAAAAGAGGTGGTGCATTAGTTAAGTGGTGCATTAGTGCTTGACTGTGACTTGAGAGATCCAGGTTTAAGTCCTCACTAAACCATATAAATCATGGTGGGGACTCTGTGTCAGACACTCTCTCTTAGCCTGGCAGCCTGGCAGGGCTGCAATTAGGTTAAGTTGAGGAGAAAGAACCACTAGAATAAATGGATCATTGGAGCAAATGAGCCTTATTGGAAGAAAGAGTCAATATAAATATAACAGACAAACAAATCAATCAATTTTAATAAAGAAAGGGAACCCACACAACATATAATATTTGAGTTGAAATTAATGCAACATCATTCTCCATGGATTCCATGGTCCACTCCTAACATTTTAAAAAAAATCCCACTCTATTTTTCAGAGGCAGAGGAAATATTTATGTGCAAGTACGAGATTGCAGGTATTTCGGCAAAATAAATTTTTATCAACAACAAAAAGATATCTGACAGAAATTCTCTAGAATCATTGACAGAATAGACAGTACTTGGCTAAATGGCCTGTGGCATTTAGGGTAATGGAATGGCTTTGGAATGTTCCCTGGCATTATAAAAATCAACATCACCCTGCAAATAGTAAACTAACATACATTAGATGGCCTTCTTTCTGACGTGGTTTATTACATGCAATTATTTTTTTTAGACACATAGAGGAATGCTCTGCTATCTGACACAAAGTCACTACTGTGATGATTCTAAAGGCTGTAATTATGGCAATGAATTTAGCACTTTTTATGATCCGACTTGTATTTCATTTATTTTCAGCTGACTTTTATGATATTTGTTAGCCACCTTGACCACTAATATTTCATGGAAAGATTGGATGCAAATCTAGAAATAAACAGTGGTGCAACCTGGTTTTCCACTTTGTTTCATGTAATGAACTGCTTTCAGAATGATTTTTATAAAATGACACTAGGCTAAGTTTCTTGACAAAGATACCAAAAAATGTTACTTTAGGTCTGATGTTGCCATTGTGCAGAGTGAGTTAAATGTCTCAGGCAGAAGATAGTTGGAGAAAGCCTTCCTGCTTTTCCTTCCAAGTTCCCTGACTGTTTCCTGCTGTTAGAAGACAGCACTGTGTATAACTGCAACACCCTGGGCTGAGCCCTTCAAATTCACCTGCTGCATGTGTGCCATGGAAGACTATCTTGCTGGCAGTGATGGATCAAGTTTTAGTTGCTAGGCCATCTGGGTTTTGCCCATTCAGTGTGATGGTGGACACTATCTTTTGTCTCAAAGAACAAATCTCTTGCAGCTAGAAGCCATAAAGTCAAGAATTAGATAGTCTTCAGGCCTTTTCAGCACCACTTGTGTTTGCCATGTCTTGAGGTGGTAATGGAGGAGAACGGAAGAGTAAGGAATTCTTGGAGTTTTCTGTAGCTCCAAGACTTTAACCAAGGGGCAATTTCTGCACTGCTACAGTTCATAGGAATTGCTTCCCAATGGCTTCTCCCATACTATCTTGAATGTCTGAATTCAAGATCCAGGACAGTACAGTACAGACAATGATACCATCGTGCAACCAGGAAGAGGGGCAGTCATCATATGGAAGGCTGCTTTGAACATTCATCCCTGTGGCCGTCGTAACAGTTAAAAGAATGGAAATCAAGGTTCATCAAATGACAGTCATAAAATGAGAACTTAAAAAAAGCTGAAGGATATGTCCCTCAGGGTTCTGTTTTGTCCCCTATGCTATTTAACATCTACATGAAACCACTGGGAGAGGCTGTCCAGAGTTTTGGGGTTCAGTGTCATCAGTACACTGAACACACTGATGTCACCCAACTCTATTTCTTCCTTCCTTCTCAATCTAAGGAAGCTGTTTCAGTTCTAAATCAGTATCTGGTATCAGTAACTGACCGGATGAGGGCAATCACAGTCATGAATACACTGAAACTGAAAATTAATCCGGGCATGACAGAGGTGCTCCCGGTCATTCGAAAAACAGTCAAGGAAAAGGGCTGCAGCCTATGCTGGAAGATGTTACACTTCCCCTGAAAAAACAGGCACACAGTTTGGGGTGTTCCTGCATTCATCTGGATGCCCCAGCAAAGGCCAGGAGTGCCTTTGCACACTTAAAACTAGTATGCCAGCTGTGCCCATTCCTTGAGAGGTCTGATCTAACCAGTGACACATGCCCTAGTTGCATCTTGGCTGGATTACTTTAACACGCTTTACGTAGGGCTGCCTCTGGAAAGTGTTAGGAAAATTCAAAGGGTCCCAAATGCTCAAGTATTAAGAATATCAGTGGGGGGCTTCTCCTTGGTACAACGACCTTATCAGGTGTGTTTGGTGGGAACATGGGAGGGGGCCTTATCTGTCGCTGCTCCCAGACTCTGGAACTCCCTCCAATGGGAAGCTAGGTTGGCCCCTTCTTTGCTGCCCTTCTGCAGGCAGGCAAAGACCTTTCTCTTCAGACAGGCTTTCCCTTAATGACTGGTGGTCTGAGAGGAGTTTTAAATGGATTATTGTGCTCTGTTATTTTAAATATGTTTTAATATTGGTTTTTGTTACCATTTTAATATAATATTTGTTTAATTCTTTTTTTAATATTGGTATACTTACTGTTGTTAGCTTTTAAATATTGTTTTAATTATAGAAACCAACTTGGATCCTTTTGAGGAGAAAGGAGAGATAGAACCATAAAGTTCCAGCTTGGGCACTGATTGGGGTCATGCTGGAGCACATTTTCCTGTGTGCCATGTGATTGTGGGGCGGGAGATCACCCCAGACCATTCTACAAGCAGTCTAAATTGTGATCT